AAGAAGTACCTTGGAAGACAAATTAATGAAACTAACTCTGGAGGAAATATAAAATTCGAATAGCACCTATTGAAGAAAGTATATTCCTAGCTTGAAAACCTACCTATATGACAACAGCAGGCTCATATACATTTCAACTGATGGAATTCAGCAGGTTCTGAATTCATGTGGATTAGCATGGTTGAAAAGGACAATGTTAGCAAAGGTTCTAGAAAAATCAAAGAATAACTGGGTTCTTCTGGGGTACTTAATAATAAAATACTACAGTATTTCTTAAAATCTTATTTTAAGAATGTGTACAATTATATTGTATAATTAGAATTTCAACTTCAGAAACTTCTCTTTTGTCTCTAATTTTCATCTATGCCTTCATAGCTAGTGTAATTCCACAGTTAGCAAAGAGCTACCATTCTACCCTATGATGTCAGTCTAGCTGTGTCTTAAAGTCAATTAACCTAAAAACAAGTTTATACACTAGGAAAACACTAAGAGCTGTTCACTGCTTTAACTGTTAAGCTGAAGGCTACAGGCTGAAAAGTGCAATCTTTTGGTTCCAAAATACAATAACAAAGACAGAAATAGATGTTGATGTTAGCAAAGACAAAGGTATGTTTGTTTAGACATATGTTTCCATCTTCTCTCCTGGAAAAGCTTACTTAACTGCTGCAGCCCTTGGAAAGGGCTTGGACTTGGCGCAGGTGAATGAGCCTTGTATGCTAACTTATTAATTAGCTCTGGGAACTTAAATTTTAGTCAGCCTAGATGCAAAATCATGTGCTTCTCATTGTGCCAGATGCTTTCACAGATCAAATCCTGCAAGCACAAATAATTTTTCTCTTGGGGATGAATTTTATAAGCTGTTATATTACCTCTATATTGTAATGAACCACTTTGAATTTAGTAGATTTAGCAACTCAGACTTCTTTTTCTTTTTGTTCATTGCAGAATTAAGACAGCCAACCAATTAATCCCAGCATTTAGTGAACTTGTACTCTCTTTGTACCAAAGAAGAGTGCTTGCATCTCCTGGCTATAACTGCCTTATCCATTTCTGCCAATGCGGCAATAGCTTACAGTGCTAGGCAGGCAGCAGGTGACTGACAAGTATTTGTTACATCACTGATGTGTCATAGATGAACAAGTGGCTGGTTGAATTATATATGGCCTGGGTCTCTGTCCATGAGGAATTCATAACCTAAATCAAAGATCACACACTGACTTAATAAACAGGTCCAGGATGGTAGAAATGAACAAATGAAATTGTTTGAGTATAAGAAAAACCAATGGTCACAAAAAATGGGCTCAATCTTTCTCTGTTTTTATAGGTGTGTTGTAACAAAAATATACATTAAAGATTATATTATCAATTTGAGATTAAAATTAAATATTTACTATGTCTAAAATATATTTTAATATGTAATTTACTATACATTTGATTTAAATTTTATGTATTTTAACTTATAATTCATTAGGTTTTGATCAGAACATTAGAAATATAACTATTCTTTCTTTTTAAAAAATTCTTTTGTAGTAAGATGACAGTGTCAGGTCTTACAATCCATGTTGCAATGTGCAAACCAGAATTCAGCTTTAAACCTTTAACAGGCAGTGACATTTAGTTTTATGCAGTTTCATAATGAAAACCAGCTGTTCACAAATATAGGTATTCTAAATGTGGGTAGATTCTTGCACAGTGGTTTTTATAGTTAAAGTAAGTACTCTTAATATATTTGTAAAATTCTGCTTTTTGAAACACTGTATTTTCTTTTCATTGTAGTATAGTACAATAACTTCCATTTATACCTTTTATTCAAATTATGAATGTTATATCAGAGTATGAATTGCACTTTACAAACTCATTCCCTAAAGTTTGAAATCTAAGATTGTTTTTCCCATTCAGTCTTCAAACTGACAATTTAGAAAATGATAAACTTTTATTTCAGGAAATGGATTTCAAAGAGAGAAACTGGACTGTGACTAACAGCTAATGTAAATTCAAAGGGCTAAATCTGAATTCACTCCCTGTTAGTGAAATATGGTAAGACTTTTCCTTTGGGTTGCATTTACATATATATTTTCCTCCAAAATTAATTTAAAAATCTCTTTGCCACCATGACACAATCAATGTACTGGACCTCCACGTTACAGTACCATGCTATTCTTTGAGTTTAATAAACAAAGTGATTATGGTTTTAGACATACCACAGAGAATGTTTCAAGCATTTTAAGAGGTTTAGTATTATTCCTGATGAAATGATTTAACAACTATCTCAGTACAATACCCTTGCAAACTGTTTGCAATCTGTTACCATCCTAGATTTAAACACTTTAGCAATTTTACTGTTCGCCTTCACTGTTCCCAAAGTGTATCTGTAGTACAGCTTATGAACAGAGACCAGTCCACATAAAACTGTCAAGACTTTTCTCCGTAAAACATAATATGTCGCGTCCTGATCTATGCAGCTATCGTAGGCATTATGTCCAGAAGTCTATATCAAACTTTAGTCATACCAAAATTCAACTGAAAGGACAAAGAAATACAACTAACTAGGTTCATCTCAGTTATCATAGAAATTTCATAAATAATTTATTCCTCAAGCAACTTGTTCTGGAAGTTCTCAGCTTTATCGTAAACATTCTGAGCACAGTTGTCTCCAGTTAGACTTAGATTGATAAATGCTTCTTTCTGTCCCACATGTTGCTGCTGTCCACAGATGCTCCTTCTGAAAAAGTACTGATACTAGGCAAATTGCTTCACATAGTATGTAACTATTTCCCAAGCAGCATTGTTTATTTTATTCACATTATATTCAAACCACATGCAATTTCTTTTTTAAATTTTTATTTTATTGGTACATTTTAGGTGTACAATATAATGACATTCATCATTGGAAATTTGCACCTTTACATAAGCTCTCTTGGTTCTTATTTTTCCCCATTACCCTGCCCTCCCTTCAACCCCTCCATCCCTCCCTATCTACAAAGACTTTGTTT